AGATGATATAGATGGATTATTGATGAGTGCGGCTTTAAACAACAAACAAACGAAACAAATCTAGCATATGTCATCGTGCCCCATTGTCCCAGCGTGGACAGATGCTCAGGGTGGATTGTCTGTCCAGACTGGATTCATTACGGACCGGAGTGTTGGAGAGTTACCCTGTATACATGGAGAGTTACCCTGTGTACATGAAGAGTTACCCTGTGTACATGGAGAGTTACACTGTATACATGGAGAGTTACCCTGTGTACATGGAGAGTTACACTGTATACATGGAGAGTTACCCTGTGTACATGGAGAGTTACCCTGTGTACATGGAGAGTTACACTGTATACATGGAGAGTTACCCTGTGTACATGGAGAGTTACCCTGTGTACATGGAGAGTTACACTGTGTACATGGAGAGTTACACTGTATACATGGAGAGTTACCCTGTGTACATGGAGAGTTACCCTGTGTACATGGAGAGTTACACTGTATACATGGAGAGTTACCCTGTGTACATGGAGAGTTACCCTGTGTACATGGAGAGTTACACTGTATACATGGAGAGTTACACTGTGTACATGGAGAGTTACCCTGTGTACATGGAGAGTTACCCTGTGTACATGGAGAGTTACCCTGTGTACATGGAGAGTTACACTGTATACATGGAGAGTTACCCTGTGTACATGGAGAGTTACCCTGTGTACATGGAGAGTTACACTGTGTACATGGAGAGTTACACTGTGTACATGGAGAGTTACACTGTGTACATGGAGAGTTACCCTGTGTACATGGAGAGTTACACTGTATACATGGAGAGTTACACTGTATACATGGAGAGTTACACTGTATACATGGAGAGTTACACTGTGTACATGGAGAGTTACCCTGTATACATGGAGAGTTACACTGTATACATGGAGAGTTACCCTGTATACATGGAGAGTTACACTGTATACATGGAGAGTTACCCTGTATACATGGAGAGTTACACTGTATACACGGAGAGTTACACTGTATACATGGAGAGTTACCCTGTATACATGGAGAGTTACACTGTATACATGGAGAGTTACACTGTGTACATGGAGAGTTACCCTGTATACATGGAGAGTTACACTGTATACATGGAGAGTTACCCTGTATACATGGAGAGTTACACTGTGTACATGGAGAGTTACCCTGTGTACATGGAGAGTTACCCTGTGTACATGGAGAGTTACCCTGTATACATGGAGAGTTACACTGTATACATGGAGAGTTACACTGTATACATGGAGAGTTACACTGTATACATGGAGAGTTACACTGTATACATGGAGAGTTACACTGTGTACATGGAGAGTTACACTGTGTACATGGAGAGTTACCCTGTGTACATGGAGAGTTACACTGTATACATGGAGAGTTACACTGTGTACATGGAGAGTTACACTGTATACATGGAGAGTTACACTGTGTACATGGAGAGTTACACTGTGTACATGGAGAGTTACACTGTATACATGGAGAGTTACACTGTGTACATGGAGAGTTACACTGTATACATGGAGAGTTACACTGTGTACATGGAGAGTTACACTGTGTACATGGAGAGTTACCCTGTGTACATGGAGAGTTACACTGTATACATGGAGAGTTACACTGTGTACATGGAGAGTTACACTGTATACATGGAGAGTTACCCTGTGTACATGGAGAGTTACACTGTGTACATGGAGAGTTACACTGTATACATGGAGAGTTACACTGTATACATGGAGAGTTACCCTGTATACATGGAGAGTTACACTGTATACATGGAGAGTTACCCTGTATACATGGAGAGTTACACTGTATACATGGAGAGTTACACTGTATACATGGAGAGTTACACTGTATACATGGAGAGTTACACTGTATACATGGAGAGTTACACTGTGTACATGGAGAGTTACACTGTGTACATGGAGAGTTACCCTGTATACATGGAGAGTTACACTGTATACATGGAGAGTTACACTGTATACATGGAGAGTTACACTGTATACATGGAGAGTTACACTGTGTACATGGAGAGTTACACTGTATACATGGAGAGTTACCCTGTGTACATGGAGAGTTACACTGTGTACATGGAGAGTTACACTGTATACATGGAGAGTTACACTGTGTACATGGAGAGTTACACTGTATACATGGAGAGTTACACTGTGTACATGGAGAGTTACACTGTATACATGGAGAGTTACCCTGTGTACATGGAGAGTTACACTGTGTACATGGAGAGTTACACTGTATACATGGAGAGTTACACTGTATACATGGAGAGTTACACTGTATACATGGAGAGTTACACTGTGTACATGGAGAGTTACCCTGTGTACATGGAGAGTTACACTGTATACATGGAGAGTTACCCTGTGTACATGGAGAGTTACACTGTATATATGGAGAGTTACACTGTATACATGGAGAGTTACACTGTGTACATGGAGAGTTACCCTGTGTACATGGAGAGTTACCCTGTGTACATGGAGAGTTACCCTGTGTACATGGAGAGTTACACTGTGTACATGGAGAGTTACACTGTATACATGGAGAGTTACACTGTGTACATGGAGAGTTACACTGTATACATGGAGAGTTACACTGTATACATGGAGAGTTACACTGTATACATGGAGAGTTACACTGTGTACATGGAGAGTTACCCTGTGTACATGGAGAGTTACACTGTATACATGGAGAGTTACCCTGTATACATGGAGAGTTACACTGTGTACATGGAGAGTTACCCTGTGTACATGGAGAGTTACCCTGTGTACATGGAGAGTTACACTGTATACATGGAGAGTTACACTGTGTACATGGAGAGTTACCCTGTATACATGGAGAGTTACACTGTGTACATGGAGAGTTACCCTGTGTACATGGAGAGTTACACTGTGTACATGGAGAGTTACACTGTATACATGGAGAGTTACACTGTATACATGGAGAGTTACACTGTGTACATGGAGAGTTACACTGTATACATGGAGAGTTACACTGTGTACATGGAGAGTTACCCTGTGTACATGGAGAGTTACACTGTGTACATGGAGAGTTACCCTGTGTACATGGAGAGTTACCCTGTATACATGGAGAGTTACCCTGTATACATGGAGAGTTACCCTGTATACATGGAGAGTTACACTGTATACATGGAGAGTTACACTGTGTACATGGAGAGTTACCCTGTGTACATGGAGAGTTACCCTGTATACATGGAGAGTTACACTGTATACATGGAGAGTTACACTGTATACATGGAGAGTTACACTGTGTACATGGAGAGTTACACTGTATACATGGAGAGTTACACTGTGTACATGGAGAGTTACCCTGTGTACATGGAGAGTTACACTGTGTACATGGAGAGTTACCCTGTGTACATGGAGAGTTACCCTGTATACATGGAGAGTTACCCTGTGTACATGGAGAGTTACACTGTATACATGGAGAGTTACACTGTATACATGGAGAGTTACACTGTATACATGGAGAGTTACCCTGTGTACATGGAGAGTTACACTGTGTACATGGAGAGTTACACTGTATACATGGAGAGTTACACTGTATACATGGAGAGTTACACTGTATACATGGAGAGTTACACTGTATACATGGAGAGTTACACTGTATACATGGAGAGTTACACTGTATACATGGAGAGTTACACTGTATACATGGAGAGTTACACTGTATACATGGAGAGTTACCCTGTGTACATGGAGAGTTACACTGTGTACATGGAGAGTTACCCTGTGTACATGGAGAGTTACACTGTATACATGGAGAGTTACACTGTGTACATGGAGAGTTACACTGTGTACATGGAGAGTTACACTGTGTACATGGAGAGTTACCCTGTGTACATGGAGAGTTACACTGTGTACATGGAGAGTTACACTGTGTACATGGAGAGTTACACTGTGTACATGGAGAGTTACCCTGTGTACATGGAGAGTTACACTGTGTACATGGAGAGTTACACTGTATACATGGAGAGTTACCCTGTGTACATGGAGATGTCAGTGTCTCTGATTGCACTGTCCCAAATTCACAGAGCGCTACATACAACAACGTCTAGACTCGACTGACATCGGGCATCAGACCGTGCAGCCAAGTCACCCCAATCCTTTGACGTTAAGCCTATATTGTCAGGTACAACTGAATAACGATTGTGGGTTAGGACAGGTTCCCAGCAACATGTGCCTATTAAGGAGGCTAAATGGGTCGGGAGCTCAGACTTAATTGCTAGTACTTGGTTGCTTGTGTGTATCGTAGACCGGTAGCATGGACTCATAATATCGACCACTGGATTGTCTGATCCAGACTGGATAATCTGCAGTCAAACATCTGTACTATTATTGAATGCGGCGTTAAATAACAAACAACCATACAGAATGAAATTCTGTGTTTACTTTTCGCAAGCCCTGAGGTACCACGTGGCAGATATTTCCCACCACGCTGTGTTTGTAGTAAGAGCAGATAGTATAGTGACTTGCTTTATCAGTGTGACCTGGAAGATAGTCTGTGGTCGTATCACGACCTCAAAGTTTATCAACCGTTTGTATTTCTTGTCCAGACTCGATTATTGACAGCCCTCTTGCTGACTGCGTTTTACACTGTTCCTTATTCATGCAGATCAGTTGGAGGCGTTCTTTTCATCACCCTCCAAATGTGTCCTCGGTTGACATAAGAGAGTGTGTGAGTGAGTGAGTGAGTGAGTGAGTGAGTGAGTGAGCATGGTTTTACATCACCTTTAGCAACATCACGGCAGGGGACACCAAATCTTAGCTTCAGATATTTCACCCATGTTGGATTCAAACTCGGGTCACAGCGTGACGAGAAAATTATTTAACGACCAAGCTACCGCCTCGCCCCATAACTGTAGTGTAATACTCTATGTTAGGGCTGAACCCGCTGTCTGTTGTAATGCATTACTTTCACTATAAATATATAACAAAGATTGGTTATAATGCTCCGTCGTCTTTTATTCATATAATATATTTCAACAAATGCAATAGTGTAACAGATGAGGATGACTAGAAGATGATCTGTGTAAAAGTGATGAATGATGCTGCTATAGTGTCGGACATATCACACACACACACACACACACACACACATAAGGACGACAACTCATGATGACGGACACCAGAATGTAACAATGAAACAGGAGGGGCCTGCCCCAGCACCACTGAACCGTTTGGCACAGAGTATCAACACATGAGTTCTCAGCTTATCCCACGATGCACACGTGAGTGCATGTTCACAAAAGTTGCGTCCATGAAATTCTGCAGAATCAGCTGCAACAGCTCACAAAGGCTTAGTGTCCTTCACTCGAAGCACGTTGACTCTCTCAAACAATTGCAGTCGACGATTATGTGAACTATCAGAAAGTTCGAGGCCCGAGGTCATTCGTCCGGGATGGACTTGCATAATAGGTCAAAGTTCCCCTGGGCAGTGGAAAGCTTCAGCTACGTCTCTTGGCTGTCAGGTGAATGCCATCCTTGGGGCACACGGTTGCGCCCTCAATGAGCTGCAATGGCGTCGTCATGTCTTTAGATAAAGCAAATTGAAAGTTTCTAATCAGCTCCACCGTTGCCGTCTTTGCTTGAAGGATGGCAAACCTGAGCCCAGCACACATCCGTGGTCCCCCGCCGAATGGCATCCACGCCATGGGGTGACGAGCTCTTTGTTTTTCAGGTGCAAATCTGTAAGCAAGAGCATGTGTTTATAACATTGCTGTCTTCAAGCAACAATATATACGACTCAAAAGAAAATTATAAAAAGATCTTCAAGCAATTATATATACGACTCAAAAGATCTTCAAGCAATTATATATACGACTCAAAAGAAGTTAGAGAACAACGGATTCTTCTCATGGAATGACAGATCAACTATTATAGTAAATATGATAGAATCGGGTGTTCTTAACTTCTTTTGAGTAGTACCGTCTGAACTACCCATGGGGATAGCCTTTGTTTTTTGATTTGGTGTTTTGGGGGAAGGGGTGTTGGGTTTGTTTGAAAGGTATAGCTTTTTCCAAACGTTAACACGATAAGACAAACATACTTTTTCACCGCATCTCCTGTAAATCCTGTCTTGATTCAAAGACTGAAAAAGTGTTCTGTCTCTTGCCCCAACCCCTAGCCCTCTATTTCAAAGAGTAGGCAACTGCAATGAGGGTGGAGTGAGCGGGATGAGAGAGTATATCATCCGTGCCCAGATGGCGTAGATAGTACTCTTCTTATCAACCATTGATCCGTTTCCCCAAATTTCTAATATTTCAGGCATTCATGACACAGCTGGCGTCTACGGCGTACAACAGAATTCACTCAAACCCATCTAAACTGACTGGGGCTATATCACTACAGTTGCTATAGACGTTTAATTGTTTTGTTTGCCTGCACAAGGATTATAACATTAACTGTGGCGCCACGGTGATCATTCTTATGTTGTAATATACATCATGTAAGCAGGAAACGTTTCCGACAATTCTGATACGAACTGCCCAAAGCCACACCGTATTTAACATCTGAGGCAATGAATTCCTAGCCAACTCGTTCATCCCTCCAGTCGTATTGAAAAGTCACGTAAGACACAGTTGACAATTTGCCAGATCGCGACAATAATGTCTTTGTCGGCATTTATAGCAATGCCATTAATCATGTCAAATATATAAGTGGTTTTATTAATAGCAAAAGTGCTTGGTTAGGCCCCGCGGTAATGGCGGCAAAGTAAACGTTGTGACTCTGTTTTCAATGGGTTTCGTAAATGAGGGACTTTCAGTCGTGAATCTACGGCATGTGAGGTAAGCAACGGGGCATTGACACCATATTCCCGTGAAAAGACAGGATCAAAGTCATTGAGAGTGAGGGTGGCGAATATACTACTGACATACCAAAGATCTATATTGCTAATCGGGATCTGGGTCTCGACTCCGAGATCAGCGGATCCTGTCACGACTATGGGATGCAACTCAGCATAGTGAATTGCGTCTCAGACTGCTGGGCGCCCCGTGCCCTATTGGCTCAACTGCCAAATTTACACAAAAAAAACATTAAAAAAACGATCAGGGCCCTCTTGCATTAAGCGATCTCAGCGCTATGGTCGTTATGCCCATGTTCTAACATAGACTTAAGATAGTCGTAGTGCTAAGATCGCTTCGTGCAAGTGGGCCCAGGAATAGTTATGGAAATTCGTTTGGTTCCCTGACGACAAAATACAGAAAGGTACAGTGGGTAGGGTTGTGGACTGACCTTTGGGGTTGGAACTCCTCTGCGTCAGGTCCCCACAGGTCCTCCCTCCTGTGCAGGCTCCAGACATCGGCCTGTACCAGCATCCCCTTGGGTATCGTGATGCCCTCCACGACCGCCGTCTCCCGACACTGCCGGGCAATCACACTGAAAACAAACACCAACACTTAATTTGTGCCCTTAGCAAAAATCTTTCAACAATTTTGTATTTCATATTAAGTGAGTGAGTGAGTATGGTTTTACGCCGCTTTTAGCAATATTGCAGCAATATCACGGCGGGGGTCACCAGAAATGGGCTTCACACATTGTACCCATGTCGGGAATTGAACCCGTGTCTTCGGCGTGACGAGCGAACGCTTTAACCACTAGGCTACCCGACCGCCCCTATTTCATATTAAAGGACCTTATGGTCGAAAATAACATTTGTAATAGTAAAAGTAAAATAATATTGCACATTCTACACACTAACCACGGATAATTCATGTTAATACAGTTGAAGATTGTTTATCAGTTTCTTTCGGCCTTTTCTAAACTTTTCCTTAAAGGTTTTCATAAACCTTTTTCATGACCCTCCTACAAGTGCATTGACGACCCCCCTCTGAACCCGCCATGAGGTTTTGGTGACCCTCCCCTGAATCTCCCGGCACCCGTGAACATCCGGGTCAGAATAGGTCTTCAGCAACCCATGCTTGCCGTAACAGGCGTCCAGACTTGTCGTAACAGAAACTAAGGGGATCGGGTGGTCAGGCTCACTGACGTGGTTGATGCATGTCATCGAATAATTGCGTAGATCGATGGTCATGATGTCAGTCACTGGATTGTCTCGTCCAGACTTGATTATTTACAGACCGCCGTCATACAGCTGGAATATTGTTGAGGGCGGCGTTAAACAACAAACAAACAAATGATTCTCCCAGGTCGGGGAATGTATGTAAAAGTTGGACTTACTTGCTTGCAACAACATATTTTCTGAGAGTCTCCTTAATAACCTGCTCTAGGTACGTTAAACCGCGAACGTTGTCATAGTTGGGAACGTCATTCTGTAAAAGAAATATGAAGACATCCGTCATATATATAAACATGCACAGACTCCGTGACATAAGTACACAACAATACAATACATGGAAGACCGCCTCCGCGGTGTAGTGGGTAGAGCGTCGCCAAGGAGAGCAGAAGGGGTATGGTTCGATCACAGGCCTTCATACCAAAACGATGGTACTTGTTAATACCCTGCCTCTGCATTAAAGGACTGGTCGGCTCGAGATTAGTGAGCTTGTCTGAGTGAGGTATTCACGTTAAACTGCCAGATGGTATCTCAGTGGGTTAGCACCATAAAACAGGCATAAGTCAGGACTAGTCCAGGCAACCACACACACACGTGCATGTACGTCGAGATAAAAGTGAAATAATCTTTAGCGCGATAAAAAAATTCAATAACACCCCACCGGAAATACGTGAACTTTGGATATAACTATCTAAATCATAGCTATTATGATTAGCTTAGGGGTGCATTATCAATACACCCGTGAAGATCCGGGGTAGAATTGATCTTAAGACCCGTGCCTGTCGTAAAGCGACTATGCTTGGCGACTAACGGGATCGGTCGTCCTGGCTCACTGATTTGGTTGATGCATGTCATCGTATCCCATTTGCGTAGATCGATGCTCATGATGTCAATCACTGGATGGTCTGGTCCAAACGCGCTGTTTACAGACCGCCGCCATATAGCTAGGAATATTGCTGATGGCGACGTTAAACAACAAACAAAAGCATCATCAATACATCATAATTTTCTTAAGTCAGATTTGGTTGGTTCTGCTTACCTTATTCGGATAGTGTTGTTGGATTTCCTCCCAAATATTTTCTTGTATGTGCGGATTGCGCGCCAGTTCATAGAATATGTAGGCTAAGCTGGTGCTTGTGGTTTCATAGCCCGCCAGGGTAAACAGGAGGGCCTGGGACACAATCTCCTGCAAATGGGGAATTATTTACCGATTGAATGAGTGAGTCGCTTCCGTGTAACGCTGCTTTGAACAGTATTTTAGTTACATCACGGCATGTCAGTTCCAATGGGAGGAAACGAAGCAGGTATCAGCCCTTTACGACACTGGTGCAACCCACGATCACGGGCCTGGTGCTGACAAACCTAGAACCATGATTAGTGCGAATCTTGGATTCGAACCCACGATCATATTTTTGCGTGACTAAGGGATGCGGTTCTGCACAGCGATTTGCATGGCCTTAGACAACTGGACCAGTCGTGCCCCCATTCCGATTAAAAGATTGCATAAGATAACTGCGTATCCGTTTGTTCAAAACACGTTCATATTATTACTGGGAAATATTTCCTAAATTAATTGATAATTAACATTAGTTTGTTTGTTTGTTGTTTAACGCCGCATTCAGCAATATTCCAGCCAAATGACAGCGGTCTGCAAATAATCTAGTCTGAACCAGACAATCCAGTGATTGACATCATGAGCATCGACCCACGCAATTTGGATACAATGACATGCATCAACCAAGTCAGCGAGTCTGACCACCCGATCCTCTTAGTCGCTTCTTACGTCGTTGAAGACCTATTCTACCCCGGATCTTCACGGGTCTGATAATAAACAGGTAGATTTGATAGCCTGACAGAAATATGTTTCCACATATCAAAGCTGTTTTCTTTGTTTACCTTGTTCGAGAGAGTTTTAGCGATATTTTGATTTGCGTTGTTTTGACTCATTTCAAATCCTTTTTCAGTCTCTTTCTCGTAGGGAAAGCATCTTCCCTTGAATCTCGCCTTCATCATAAGCTGGAGCATGTCCTTCCCGTCCTGTAAGAATCAAAGACCAGATGCAGTCACAAATATTACATTAACTGTATGGAGCACGGGTGCCCAGTCGTCAGAGACGCTAGAATTCCCTTAGTCCTGCCAGATCGTGGGTTCGAATCCTAGTGCGCTCTAATTATGTTTCTAGGTTTGTCAGTACCATGGCCTGGCTCGAGGGTTTCACCAAAGTGGTATACATCTAAGACCTGCATCATTTGGGGCTTTCCTCTTACATCAAGCTGACAAGCCGTCATAATACTGTTCAAAGCAGCGATGAATCAAAGTCACCTACTCTCTACATAAACTGTAAGTCATTCTGTCCACAAAACGGAAAAGAACTGTCAAGGCTGCAAAGCCAAATTGGAATATTCAAATTATAAGAAAATGATTACTGGTGAATTGAATATGTTCCTAAATGGGTGATTTTCCCAAGGGCGAATATGGCCTCCAATGTTCATTCTATGCAGATTTAAGAGACATTTTACCAAAGTATTATTGTGTCCATCCAAACCAGCAAAAACTTAAAATGCTATTCTCAAGCTCGAATCCGCCTTTACTTAACAGTCTAGGGAAATATATTTTCTTAGCACTTATGTAACGCAAAAGATATTTTAAAGAGGTCATTAATTATCCTAAGTAGCAATACTGTCCACTATTGTACATCACAAGGCAAACATTCTCTGTCAAATATATATGTGTGTGAGTATATACTTGTATAATGGGCCGGTGTCCTTATTACGGAATAAACACCATCAACTACGCTATCCAACAGCCACTGTATATAAGCATAGGTGAACTTACAAAGTTAGTTGACTTCCTCTCTTCAATGACAGCATTGATCTTCTCCTCCAGCCAGAAGAACGGATTGAACTGGATGTTCCTAAGGAAGTAGTATATGAAGATCCACAGAGCGTGGAGGGCGGGAAACAGAACTGGAAGAAAAAAATAACATAATCTTATGGAATTGGGCTCTGGCAAGAGTGACCAGTAACTATGGACTCTAGTAGGTCTCTAGTAATCTGGTGTTGAACGAGGAGGCTAAATAGATAGGGTTGTCAGAGTTGTGACTTGGTAAATGGGACCCGTGAAGATCCGGGGTAGAATAGGTCTTCAGCAACCCATGCTTGCCGTAAAAGGCGACTACGCTTGTCGTAAGAGGCGACTAACGGGATCGGGTGGTCAGGCTCGCTGACTTAGTTGATGCATGTCATCGTATCCCAATTGTGTGGATCGATGTCAATCACTGGATTGTCTGGTCCAGGCTAGATTATTTACCGACCACCGTCATAAAGCTGAAATATTGCTGAGTGTGGCGTTAAACAACAAACAAACAAACTAGGTTGATGGCGTGTCATCGCACCCACCGGCGTGGGACGATGTTCATAATATCAATCACAATTTGTACCTATTCGATTATGTACAGGGCGCCATGGTAAAGCTGGGATAACATAAAAAACATCAAATAAATAAACAAAGAGACTGTGGTTTACGCATTCTTTAGCAATATATAAATACAGTGTACCCATGTGTGCAATTGAACCCAGGCAAATGTTTTAAAATAGCCATTTGGCTACCACCCCCTCGAACACATGAGACCAACAACCCACGATTTTAATGTTAATATATACCTGTCTTGATCATCCGACGAAAGAGATTCCATTGGGGGTAAAGGAAAAATGGCAGTGAAAATTATATGAATGCATCACTGAAAATCATTGATGACGCCAGCTGTTCGTCAAAGGTGCTCCTAAAGTGTTTATAGAGCTTGTTGGGGATGGTGGGTATGTATACGTACATCCTAGCAAAAAGAGTAGAGGGCGCTTGGTGGTGTCTGTTATCACTCCATGGCAGTGTTTCAAGAAGGGGTCGTTGGGGTCCTGCAGAGCCCGTGACTTCAGGTTGAAGGCACAGTGGAGGATGGTGTCAAGGGTGAGACGCTGAAACTGCCTGTTGGAAGAGAACACCTTTTGTACACTGACTCTCTCCTTCAGAATAGCATGATCATCGTGAGTGTGAGTGTGTATGGTTTTACGCCGCTTTTAGCAATATTCCAGCAATATCACGGCGGGGGACACCAGAAATGGGCTTCACACATTGTACCCATGTCGGGAATCGAACCCGGGTCTTCGGCGTGACGAGCGAACGCTTTAACCACTAGGCTACCCGACCGCCCCTGATCATCGTGAATATGCTTCCTGGCAATGTAGATGTGATGGTTGTGTGTGAATGAGGATTTTTTGTTTGTTTGTTTGTTGTTTAACGCCGCACTCAGCTATATGACAGCGGTCAGTAAATATACGAGTGTGGACCAGATAATGGAGTGATTGATGTCATGAGCATCGATCTAGGCAATTAGAATTAGCGAGTCTGACCACCCGATCCCGTTAGTCGCCACTTACGACAAGCATATTTGCCTCTTACGGCAAGCATTGGTTGCTGAAGGCATATTCTGACCCGGATCTTCACGGGCGAACGGGTAGTGAGTCAACAGGGATTGCGTTTGTGGTAGACGTTTATCACTTTGGTGAAAGGTGCTGACAAACCGAGATTTCTGGTACGCCTCAGGAACGCAACTCAGTCAGAGCCCTAGACGACTCCCCCACCCACACACATCACCTCACCCCCAGTGGTGCTAGGTAGTAAAAGAACATACGTTGAAAGATGCGACACTGTTTGCATAGCTAGCTTAACAATACAATGTTCGATATACACTTAACGTTCCCGAAAAATGATGCCTAAGGTTAATTCACGTTTGAGGTAGCAGGAGAAAAACATCCACTTACTCGTGAATATTGAAGGCGGCGTTTCTGTCGCATTCCCCTCCCACATTGTCGACGAGGTTATCGACGCATTTGTTGATGACTGGGGACATCTGAAACCCGACAATGAACTAACTGCCTTTACACATGTACATTGAATACAATGACACTGAACTGAATTCTGCATATTCTTTCAAACTCAGCAATATTCCAGCAATATGACGTCGGCCTCTACATAATCAAGTCTGGACCAGACAATCCAGTGATTGATATTGCGAGCAACGTTCAAAGTCGGGATACCACGACACGCAAATCAAGTCACCGAGCCTGACCACCCATCTATATATTTTGTTGCGTCTTACGACTAGCATAGGTTGTTAGGGGACCTATTCTAACCGGAATCCCCAAAGGGCGGAAAGGAAGCCTTGGCGTATCTGATCCTCATTGTTTCATGTCGCAATTGTTTGTAACCTAAGACTCATGTAAGTCACGATTTAGGTCTACTTCTTTAAGATTTGTCAAGTTGTTTACTCGAGAAGAAGTGGGCGATTGGGAGAAGGGGAAGTGCCAAGGACCTGGAACGGATGCCTGTCGTACAGCTGCGTTTGATTGACAGAAATATGATGCAAACGTGTGGGAACAGATTATTGTATTAAATTCAATAGTTTGATAGACATTTCTAACCCTGACAAGATTCCGATGCAGCTGCCATAAATTTATGATCGAAACTGGACGTCATACCAATACAAGAGAAAACAAAAGATTTTGCCCACAATGTCAAAAATTGGACTTCAACTACATTGAAAATGAATATCATTTCCTTCTTATTTGTTATTCATAATTCAACATTACGTTTACATTTTATTGATACATATTTTCACACTAATCCATCCTATGAAAAATGTGTAAATCTTATGTCTTCTAAATGTAAATACACTATTACACAACTTGCTAAATATATCTACCACGCTTTTAGATTACGCGAGTCACCCACAATTCACTGATGTATTATTTATGTATTATATTCTTTTCATGTATTTATGCATACACTTTATTGATATCATGTATGTTCTATGGGCCTATGGCCTGAAACTTGGAGGAAATAAACTCTATACATAGACATTTCTTAGAAGTTAACGGATGACAAAGTAGACAAACAATTTATGGACAACAACTTCTTAATGCAACATAAATAAAGTTGTTATCCATAACGTATTTGTCTACTTTATTAAGTTCCAGTTCTTATTTGTGAACTATGTGTTGTTGGTGGGATTACGTAAGTAAGATAAGCTACATGATACCAAAAATCGATTTGTGCATATGACCTTGTAATAAGCATGTAGTTCTAAAGAGACGATTTCGAAGGGTATGATCGTCAAAACTCTAAGTGCCTATTCAAACGATCTATAAAGTCAACTGCGGTTATGGATGAATGAATATTCGTGGAACAATATATATTTCATTCAAACAGAAAAGCAAGATGGACTTGTCGCCAAGTATCAATATGATAGCTATCACATGTATGTAATCACAATGAAGGCAGGGTACCCACCATTCTCATTTTAGCAGAGCTGAAAGCAGGATTAACGATGGACCTAAGCCTCTTCCAGCGTTCTCCTCGAGCAAAGAACATGTGGACATCTTCATCCTTATCAGGGTCAACCTGCACCGGAAACACCTGAAACATAAACGTACCGACAGTTGATTGCAGGTGTTGCAAGAGATTGATGATAATCACTTGTCACAGATGATATATAGACTGGAGACGACATTCTACAGGTGAAATGAAGATAACGGCTGTAATTTATCCATGAACCAAAACTATTTTTTTATAAATGAAATTTCTGAAATATGAACATATAAGGACAATTATGTACTTTGATACATGTATTATCTTGTTCCTTGACAAGAAATCGTCTGAATAGTTTTCTTCCATCGGCAGGCCACTTCAGTGAGTGAGTGAGTTGGGTTTAACGCCGCTTTTAACAGTATTCCAGTTATATCACAGCGTGTCAGCTTAATGTTGGAGGAAAGCCCGAGGTGATGCAGGTCTCAGACGTTTACCACTTCGATGAAGCCCACGAGCACGGGTATGGTGCTGACAAACCTAGAAACATAATCGGGGCGAACCGGGATTTGAACCCACGATCATAGGTTTCTGGCGTGTCCAAGGGACGCAACTCTGCACAGCTAATCGCGGCGCCTGAGACGACTGTGCCCCCCAGGCCACTGCAGAAAACGATATTTCTAAATGTTTTCACCTTTCGTGCATGGAACTTGCTGAACTGTTTGATGAACACCTGGTGAAGAATGTCTGTGCTTGATGTAACCAGGACAGGTGTGGGTCCTTCAAAATACCTGCAAGACATATAGTGATCGATAAGGTAATTAATGATCTTGTAGGACGCCTCTTTCTTGGGCGTCTTTGATATCAGTTTTTATTAATCACTAGCAGTTTTGAATACGTCAGTGTCAAATTTGCAATAATCGATACCTGGTAATCAGAGAATTGTTATATGGTGAATCGAAAAATATTGATTTTGTTACCTTAACAATTATCAATGTACCGGCGTCTTAAGTTATATAATGACGATCAATTTTAACCTGCATATTTACAACGAAATTAATTTAGTACCCGTAAGTTGATCCATATGTTTTTGTCCACTCTTGGTATATTTCATGAAAACTCTGAAAAATAACGAATTAATTAATTTATATACATGTAATCATAGCTTTGTCGTGTGGCGGGCATCGTTACTGAATGGTTGCCACGAAAGTGCATCGATGACAGGTTATAAACAATGACTTGCACAGTTGCGGCAGGGATACACTGATTACAGTATATCCGACGACCTTCATATATCAAATCAACAATGGCAAGACGTGTGGAAGGTGAAATTTTCACAGTCACATTATCAATAGTTATGTTTGTTGTGCTCTTATGTGTGTAACTGCGGCAGTTTTATTGAATTCATCGTTTTGAAATGACATGTAACGGGTTAGCATAGCAGAAACACCGGCTTCGCTTCACATGTTTGATCACGTCATCGTGTTTTTTCTCCGACATATCTATTTTCATCCCAATCTGTGGTCATACTCGTGTTGACATAAAGCTTGAGAAAGCCGTGTATAGCATTCGTCCAAAATAACATTTTCGTGACACACATCTCATACAACAGCGGAAAAGTGTGATAGCTTAAATGTACGTTGTGTGTTATGTCTGAAAATAAGCCACTCACCCACACGGCTGAGCGTGTGTATGCTCTAGTTGCTGTGTTTATAGATTATTATGAGGACACACCCAATGTTGCAAAGACTCTACCGCCCACGCGCTTTAACGTTTAATTACTATTCTACGCCCAAATTAAAGAAAATGATATCATTCATATCATTCATAACATTCAACTCACAGGCAAAACTCTCGAAGTCTATATCTATACATATATATCCACAATCCATTAAGTGACACACTATATACAATCTACATCAACCTGCAATGCTATTCAGCCCCTCGTTCACACAAGGAGTAGACACGTGTGTCGGGACTCCGTCCGCGTTACAGTGCAAGGCTACGTCGTGTACGTTATGTCACACCGGGGACGAACGACGGGTCATGTTTATATAAGGCGAGATTGTCGACCCGCATGTCTCCACTCAAAGGTGCACCTCAGGTAGGTGGATACCGATAAGGGCTTACAACTGATACACCACACAATCCACGCTGTTGGCTTATCAATCGGAGCTCGGAGCTATAGAATGTACTTTCTGTGCCTTCGGTGTGATATATGTATCAACTTTGACATGCCATAATAAAGCGTAGTGTTAATCGTACACTATTTCAAAGAAGGCATACGTTGTATACAGTTGGTGTTCAGCGTTCTGTATATTAGGTAACAAAACATACCTTTGTTTTCAGTGATAGTAAATTCCCAAACAGGAAATTAGGCTCCGGCCCGGGGATTCCCATGTCTTTAAACACCCTCATCTGCTGTCGTCGGATGCTGTAAGATAAAGTTCAATGAGATTTTTTCAACATAAAGTTGTAAATTGTTATGGCTAACATGCACTGGAACTCCGAAAATCCGGATACCTGTTAATCCGGAAACAGTACTTACCTTTTGAATAGTCACAATAATCCGTACCCGATTCAGATCCATTAATATATTCAAAGCCAACAACGGTGGTACAGGAGTACCCATGATTCATTAATCCGGACACTTGTCAATTCGGACGATTAAGTGAAAGGCTAGCGACCGGTTTAATTGTATAGCTACTATTCGTGAAGGGCAGACGGCTTATGAATTATAACTTTTAAGATTATTTTTAACATGCTTTATCTCAGCAAAAAAATGACCACATGGGTTACAGTAATCGATGACTCACCAGTAAAACATGGCACAGAGCACGGCAGCGACAGAACACAATATAAATGTTATGGCCATTGTGGTGTTTTCTTCGAGCTATCTTTACTTGAACAGATTCATAATCACTTTACAAGACCCAGTGCTTACTAGCATTTATACCCGCGTGTTGACGTCTTAGCCAATCAGCGTGGAGCCATCAATACAGTGACTAGACCAATCCCATGCTTGCTGCGATTAAGGACACGGGCAGAAGACTCAGCTCATATGAACAGAAGACGATGTGGATTAAGTCTCTAATTATTGACTGAATGTAATTACTTCAAACATGTATGTATAACACTCAAGATATTTCGCTTGAAATCATTCTAGGCAATTCCCGTGCTTTACATACGAAAACAGGTTTGCATCTTAGCATTTTTAAAAGCGACGGTAATAAAATCTGGCGCTCGAAGTCCCGTGTTGTAAATGATAGACAAACACACAGGGCTGATACTCGAGTCGTTAACGAATATACTATTATTCTCTTCTTCTTTACGACGATCTGTGTGATTTTTTTTAAATGTTTAGAATCTGTACTGTTACATTCTATCATTTAACACATATATAGTGTTTTGTAACATGTGGATATGCTGACTTTAGAATGCAGTCACTTTCAAAAAACCGTTATTACGATTTTGTTTGTCTGTTGTTTAACGCCGTACTCAGCAATATTCTAGCTTTATGACGGCGGTCTGTAAATAATCGAGTCTGGTCAAGACAATCCAGTAATCGACATCAGGAGCATCGATCTGCATAGTTGGGATACGATGACATGCATCAACAAGTCAGCGAGCCTGACAACCCGATCCCGTTATTCGCCTCTTAGACAAGGATAGTCGCATTGTACGACAAGCATGGGTTGCTAAAGACCAATTATTACCCGGATCTTCACGGTACCCAATAATTATGAATAATAGAAGGAAAGCTGAAGCTTTCATCGATAAACATTCGTTCTGTGGAAAATTACACAAGGATTCATATATGAGCTATTCAGTTAGTTGTGATTTATGAACTTATTTTTACCCAAATAACAATTTCAAAATGATAGATAAAAATTCATAAACGTAATGATTATAACTAAGATTTGTCGAGTCGGGTATTACAACAGAAAGTCTTGTGGTATTAAACTTCTGGAATTCCTTTGAGATGTAGCATCCAGCTGACTGAAAATCGTAGGCATACTGACATCATAAATTATTCCAAAAAACAACAAATCTATTGTCACTATTGGTGCTTATCAATAACTAGTGACACTTTATTATATATCTATATACATAAAACGCCTGGTATAAATATCAATCTATCACCAAATAATGCCCTAGATAATTACAACGGCCTTTAACTTAAAAAATGCTGACGTATGCGATATGAATTCACACCCAAATCGATCAAGTCAGGATTGCATTTACAGAGAACATATTGATATATAGAGCAGGGAGTATGTTTGGGATGCTGGGAGCATGTTTCCATTCAGTGTTACCATAGAGCTCATTGATAGATGATGTCAGATTGCCCTAATGATCTTCAATATTTTACAACTTCTCGAAGATAATGCAAACTATTTGTATAACCTACATCAATTCATAATGTTGATGTAACCCCACCCCGCCCCACCCCATAACGTCAAATTAACGTACACACTACGTCATATAGTTCAACTGCATGATAATTGTTGTTGAGATGTTTGTATCAGCCACAGGTAAACATGTTATTGTAACCAACTGTTTATGATGCAGACATCGATTAGTATTATTACAGCCTGTTCAGTGTGCACCAAGGGCGTGAACGCACACGAAGACTTGGGTCGAAACATTCACTTGCTTCTTTTGAATTGTGTATTGATGCCGTATGGTGTCGACAAAGCAATTAATTTGCAATACAGTGAATGCGTCTATTCAATAAGATATTATCAAAATGTAAACACCATCTGCAGAAACCTGTGCACAAACAGAATGCCGAGCATGGGACTGCGGCCAAGTATTTAATGCGTTATCTTTGCACTTTAAAAAATAATGTTTGTGTATCACGATTTACAAGGAACGTGTCATGTAAACAAAAACATCTTAATGGACTAAACACATTACGACCCGGAGCTAGGAGTCTAAATACAGGGGGAATAGATATGCATATTGACGATGAAGCCGGTGTGGTGCTTGTACTTGCACACGTATTGAGGCTGTGACCGAGTTTCCAGCACAGCAACTGGTTGTTATTATTCAAATGCTCTATTGGACAGCAGTCTACACACGAATGACGTCATGGTTTCAGTATGACGCAACATGTGCGTGTTTAACAGTTTGACGTTTTCGAACACAATGCTCCAAAATTTAACGTTGCTGGTTGTAACGATTTACGTCATCTCTTTTATGATCCGCAGAATGGGAAATGCTTCTCTTTGGATGAATATAAACTTGATGATTGAATTACACAGGATCAACAAACACTAAGCAATGTCTCAAATATCCACGTATTCACATAAGGATAACATTATATATATTATGGGAGTAAGGGGAATTTGGTTGAACGCCGTTTTATCTCACAGTGTGTCAGTTTAATGTGGGAGGAAAACCCGAAGTGATGCAGGTCTTAGGCGTTTACCACTTTGGTGAAATCCAGGAACACGGGTATGATCCTGACAAACGTAGAACAATATTTGGGGCGAACCGGGATTCCGAACGCCCAATCATAGGTTTCTGGTGTGCCCAAGGGATTTTTGCCTTAGACGACTTGGCCAATCGTGCCAATCATAAGGATATAGCTGTCTGCTTTGTGAGACATTATTATACTATGGTGGTTAAAGCGCTTGCTTACCACCCGGAGTTCCTGGTTCGGTACTCAACATGAGTACAATGTACGTCCCCTGTCTGGATGTGGCGGCAATATTGCTAAGGATGCGTACGACGGCTGGTCAAAACGTTCTAAGCCTAACAAACAAAACCAACAGCCGTGAAATTGTTTTCAATTTTATTTTTCATTATAATCTCCCTGTTTTTCAATACACTTCTCATATCGATAGTGTAGCTTTTCAATTCCAGTCAGGAAGAAGTGAACTGATCCTGAAAAACCCATTCGCGACAGGTTGGAGGTCGATGTTGTCGTCATAGCGCTTCACATGAAGGTGTTCTTTCAGTTTAGGAAACTTTGTTCACTGCAGCCTTTGCAAGTTGAGAGGTGTGAGGAGAGGCATTGTCATGAAGTCCAGAACTCCAGCAGCCAGCATTTCTTTGATAGAGCCTCTCAAGCGATGACGCAAATCAGCATAGTAAGCACCGGTAATCGTCTGTAAATAATCAACTCTGGACCAGACAATCCAGTGATTGACATCATAAGCATCGATCCACGAAATTGGGATGCGATGACACGCATCAGCCAAATCAGCGAGCCTGACCACCCGATCCCGTTAGTTGCCTTTTACGACAAGCATAGTCGCCTTATACGGCAAGCATGGGTTGCTGAAGACCTATTCTATCCCGGATCTTCACCGGCCTGCCGTCATATAGCTGGAATATTGCTGAGTGCGGTGTTAAACAGCAAATAAATATAATCATATAAATAGCACTATTAATCGCACCCTGTTTTAATCTCCTGGCGAAATACATTTGCTATCATTTACAAAGAAACAGTGATATATATAAATAAAGTTTGTTTTATTTCTTCTCTCAGAAGTATTTCGTGTCATAAGACAATCAAGTTATTGCTTATGTCTCAATTGCGTTACCTTGAAGCAGATTCTTTTGGCGTGTGTTCAATATCCCCCCACGCATCGTGGGCGTTTACCGTGCGTCTCGTGTTGTTCCGTGTTCAACGGGTTAACCAATTCATTAATCACCCCTCTTATCGATTTCAAGATGCACATCTGCTGATGACGCTATTTCAAATAGATCCCTTCCAAGATCAATTTCGTTTATTGCACAAAGGACCTGCCAACGACACTCGGGGGTTCCTTTCCTCAGCTCTGGTCTAATTATGTCTAAACGGCAACGTTTGTAGACCAGAGATGTTAATACCAAGCACCAACCAAGTCAAGATATGCATCATTAATCATGTTGCTGTCTGATGACAACAGAAGGTATAGACATTTGGAATGGGTATGTCTGAATGGAAGAAAACAATCATTGGAAATTGGGAGTAACATTTATTTCAGGTGTACCGTCTATATATATATATATAAATGATAAACGCCAACGAAGCGTCGAGGGATATTGAACACACATGAAAACATATATTTTAGGTGTATATATATATATATAGTTATATAATTATATAGCATAGTTATAGTTATAATTTAATAGCTAGTGCTTTCATCACCTCGTAACACGTATGAGTCTGTTCAGGCCAAAACAAGTTATTAATTCCTGTGACGTGAATATATATATATATATATATATATATATATATATAGAGAGAGAGAGAGAGAGAGAGAGAGAGAGAGAGAGAGAGAGAGAGAGAGAGAGAGAGAGATTACTGACACCGCGGCATAAAGCAACATTCAGGCACGCACTGAATGTATTAGTTATCCTACAGACATGATCAGGACATACAAAAAAGGAGAGAGAGAGGGACGGTGTTACTCCCACAACAATTTCCAACGATATATGAACCAACATATCACGGACAATAGAAGTTATATGCATCACATGTGCCAAATTAAGTAGAATAATATATAAAATTGTTATAAACAAATATGACCTTTACTTTCCAAAACAAGATTATTTTGTTCAGAAAAATTAAATCAATTGTTTTATAGATTGGCCTTTTGTACTACACAAGAGAAAAGCAGCGACGGTTTCGACCTATTTCATGACTCTAAACTGACCTTACATATTGCACGTCAAGAAGGAAGGGTCATATAAATTGTCCCTTTTTGCAAACGCCTGGTGTCATCACTCATTTTCAGTGATCCATTCATATAATTTGCAGCACTATTTTGACTTTTGCGCCCAATTGAATCTTTATATAACTTGAAGCACTATTTTGACTTTTGCGCCCAATGGAATCTTCATATAATTTGCAGCACTATTTGGACTTTTGCGCCCAAAAGCATCATCATATAATTTGCAGCACTATTTTGACTTTTGCGCCCCATATAATTTGCAGCACTATTTTGACTT